CAGAATGTGGAAATTATTGAACAATATCATTAAAGTCACTTGCATGCAGAGTATTGTTGCATATCATCTGAAAATGGTTACAACAGAACATTGGTAGAGAACTGGGATTGCCAGAAGTTAAGGCTGGGTATAGAGGAGGCCTTGATACCAGGAGTATTACTGATAATGTCAAGCAGAAAATAACCGAAGGATGAGCACTTGTATTTAATTGACTATGCAAAGGTATTTGACTGTGTGGATCATAGCACACTATAGTTAACTGTGAGAAGAATGGAAATCCCAGAACACTTAATTATGCTTATACAAAAACTATACTTAGATGCATAGTGGACAGAAAGTGATGCTACCAAGCCAAAGGTGGGTGACTTTAATCCATGGCCTTCAGGCCTATTTTTGTTTTTAGTCAAACATTCTTCTAGGTCATATATGCCTGGTCTGTCCACTTGCTGTACAGAGGTCACTCGTGGTCGCTGTGAAGCTGAACACTGTGACACTGATGTGTAAAATGCAAGAATGTTTACCCATGGCGGACAGTGTTTGGTGGAGCTCGCCGATTAAAATAAGCTTGGAAGTAGGAGTGGCATCCACTTCTGAAATAGCTTGCCTCTGGAACCCCTATGAACCTGGAGAAAGGATGAAAGTTATACAGATGTTCAAGTCTTTCATTCATAGGGTTGCTATGGGTTGCCTACGACTCGATGGCAGAACAACAACAATGTGAATTTTAGACAGTGAATAAAGAACAAAAAAGAATTGATGCCTTTAAACTGTGGTGTTGGTGAAGAGTACTTGATATATTATCAAGGACTGCCAAAAGAATAAACAAATACATCTGTGTTGGAAGAAGTACAACCAGGGTACTCCTTAGGCTAAGATGGTGAGACTTTCTCACAGACTATGGACATGTTGTCAGGAGGGGCCAGTCCTTGGAAAAAGCCTTCATGCTTGGACAAGTCAAGCAAAGGAGAAGACCTTCAACAAGTTGAATTGACACAGTGACTCCAACAATGAGCTTAAGCACAGCAGAGATTGTGAGGGACGATGGTGCAGGACCTGGAAAGATATTAATCTTTTGTATGTAGGATCACCATGCCTTGGAGTTGACTCAGGCACCGAACAACACGTTTGAGCCTCCTGATCCCTTGGAAAGGCTTTGATGAGTGAGATTTGAGCAGCGTTTGCTCTAGCAGGTTTGGGTTTGTAAGCCTCTGTCTTTTTCAGAGAGCTGCAAGCTGCTCTGACCACTTTCTACCCTCTATAACTCTTCACTTTGTGTTGAGCATGAAATGTGGGAATTTTGTGTTTGATATTTTTTTTTAAATTTTATAGTGGTTTGCTTACAAAGTTCATATAGATTGTGTTTCACACTATTCTTCATGTAATTTGTTATTTTTTTAAAAAGCACCTTCCTACCTCAGCTTTAGTTTTAGTTCCCAAGAAAACCTGCCTCTAGCTAGAAGAGACATTCCTTGTTTGACAGATGAGGACTTTGAGGCCCAGGACAAAGGACAGATATTTGCTCTCAAAGCTGTGAGCCAGGTTTGGGTCAGCCCTTCTGCTTGCTAGATGAGGTGGTGGTCGTGTTGGACTGCACCTTCACTAAAGGTGAGGCTGCCGGTTCTGCACACCAGGTAAACTGTCATTTCGTGGTACCAGTCTGTGTCCCTGGGAATGCTTGGAAGGCCTGCACGAGTCAGAGACTGCCTCTGCCCAACCTCCTCCTGGCCTGCTCTGGATTCCCAGAAAATGAGATCATCCCAAATTCTCTCTCTGCTTGAACAACTTATGCTTATTTTGTTTAACTGAGATTATATTTTATTTAAGAGCAGAGGGAAAAAAAACCCCACAATCCTATACTGAATCAAAGTAGAGTTTTCAGAAGGTATTTTAAAAATTGAAATAACTAAATTGGTCCATTCAGTTATCAACATTGGGTACTAAAAGTGGAGGAAATACTGTAAATTTAAGTGGAATCCCAGGTGACTCTATGCTTGTTTTGAAAGGGAAAAAACAAAACCTCTGACTTAATATATTTGCTTGTTTTTTTAAAAAAGAAAAATCCAGGAAGAAAAATAATCGTCTATTTTGATTTTCTGGTGGTTAAAATCTAATGTAGTAAAAAAAAAAAAGTAAGACTGAAAAATCTAAGAATAGTATCTCTATAAATAATAAAGCTTTAGGTATTGAAATAAAAATTATAATTAAAATATAGTGTAGATAATTACAAATCAGATATGGGATTTGTGCTTAATAAGCTCATATTGTAGGTTAGGAAATGCTGAAAAGAAATAATAATAAGATAATAAATTGACATACAAAGGTATGAGAGATGGAAGGACAACCCACCCAGTGGTAAATGAAGTTGTATAGGATAGTATGTAGTTAATTTCCAAGCCAGGCTTGGCATGCAGGGAAGTTCTGTCATCTTTCTCATCCAAGAGAAGGAGACATGGTTGAAGGAACAGAAGTATGAAGGACAGCACAGCCAGGACAATGGGTGCCCTGATGTCCAAACAGGTCAGGGGGCAGAAAGAAAGATGGGGACTGGTTGCAGAGCCCTGGAGGCCGGCGGAGGGAAGGCACGGGAATCACTAGGAATCAGTTGTCCATATTTTGTTCATGTGGACATGTTATGCTTCCTCAATTAGCCCTTCCTTTGAGCTAATAACTTTCCTCTGCTTTTGTTGTGGCTCTTCCAGCTTTTCCTCTTGACAGTGTTCTGTTGCTGACAGTTTTAGAAAAGTGCTTTTCGTTATCTAACATTTTAGTTCATGGTATTTTGTACCATTTAAGGCCAGTATTGTGAGTTAGATGCTTATGGAAAGTTTTTGTGCTATTTAATAAACCCTTTTGATGTAGGATGGAGTGTTAGTAATTATCTAGAACATTAGTATTTGCAAACAGGCTAGAGAGAGAGGGAAAAAAAAACCCAGATTCATTGTAATCAGATTTTTAAAAATGTATTTAAGAACACATTGGGGAAGACAACATCTAGATGTGTGATACATACGAAGGGTTTTGTTTTCAGATATCTAACACGGGATGAAATGGATTGATACAGTGACTGGGGCAATGGGAGTAGATGTGTCCCGAGTCAGTGAGACTGGACAAGGCAGGGCAGGCTTCAGAGCTGTTGCACACAGAGTCACTATGAGTTGTAGGCAACTTAACGGCACATTACAACAACAAGCTACATTCAAGAGTGCACTGGTTTTGTGTAAAGCAAATTCCTTACATTGGGTCACAGTTTAAAAGCATGAAGGCTGTTCTAGTACAGAGTCCCCTTCCCAGGAGAGACAGTGGCTGTGAGCCACACTCCTTCAGCCCAGGAGACCCCTTGCACTCAGGCAGGCTGGACCCCAGCATTTCAATTCCACCCAGTTCTTGTCCACTTACTTTTCCCATGTAGCCTCCATTCATTGGGATAAAGCCAGAGAAAAGTGTCAGTCAGGTGCACTCAGGGAATATTAATGTTTAAGAGTTATCTGAAAAGGTTTCATTGTTTCTCTGTCTACTTAGGGGTGGCTCCTCTTTTCCTTTGAGAAGACAGGGTGGTGGAGTGAGGACCTTGGGAGGCTCATCGTTTTGACCCCTACCCTTTAGACCCAGTAACAGCCTTTTTCTAGATGTATTTCCTTTTCTTTTTTGATATTGTTTAGCAGCTATTTCCAAGTTGCTATATTTTAGCTTGCTATGAAGAAAGGCATTGGCAATTGAACCTTTTATGTAGCTCTCCTTTGGCTTAAAGGACTCTAAGAAGGACATTTGAGGTCATTTGTCCCAGTCTACTCATCCTACAGAAGCCAGAGGAGGAACCTCGGAGGAGAAGGTCCTGGAGCCCACATTGTTGGCCCTCAGCCCTGTCCTTCCTGCTTCTATTTCCCAACATCCTAATAAATCAGTATGGTTAGTACTGAATAGCTGGAGCGCTCTGTACTGTGGAGCAAAGCCAGTGGTAGACTTTAATTGATACCCTTATCTGAGTCAGGAGGTGCCCAGTGTTCCTCTTTAAATAAAGGACAGGTGGCACACTGAATGAGGCTGCCAGGACCACACGTGTTGAGCATGGGGTGCACTGTTTATTGCCAGGCACCCATCTGCTCTTCAGGGACATTTCCCACCTCATGGATGTTCTGGGAGCCCCATGGTTAGTGAGCAGCGTGGAAGTCCTGAGAAAACAGTTTTCCCTCCGAGCAAAGGCCTGACCACAGTGCAGCACGCTGACTCACCTCCACCGCAGCGCCACTACTCATCCATGTGGCTGCACTTGGCACCAGTGAGCGAGGCCACTTCCTGTAGCCTCAGGAACCTCAGCCTTCTGGAGGAAAGCGCAGCTTTTGCTGAAGTTTCCCTGTAATGTGTTTTATGTACATTTCATTAAGATTCAGTGGTGCTTATGTGCTATCTGCACAAATTTTCTGTCTTTTCTCAGAAAACAAACTATTTGAAAAAGAGCCCTTTTCCCCCCGAGAACTGATGATAAAATTAGATAGTGAGCGCTGACGATATTGCACACACTGAGAAATATGGGGAGTAGTCAGCATGAGGTGAGAGACTAGCCCTGACATCAGCAGCAGGCAGGCTTCCTTCCTCGCTGACAGGCGATGATAACCCACGTTCTAGGGAGCTCTGGTGGTGTGGTCTGTAGTGAGTTGTGCTGCTAACCCAAAGAGCTCATGTTTACCTGGTGATTCAGAACCACCGACGACTCAACGTGAGAAAATCGGATTGTCTCCTCCCGTTATGATTTATAGTCTCGGGAACTCAGTAGAGGGTCTGTGTGAGTTGGAACCAACCCAACAGCAGTGAATGTTTCCCGTCCATGCAGGTCAAGATTTATACAGACCAACGACACATACATGAGAACACTTTGTTAGGTGACACGAGCTGTGAAATGCTAAACTGTCACTCCCTGCATAGTTTTGAAGGCTCCTGCATCTGTGCATTCTTTGTATCTACCAGAAGATGTCAGTATGTGACTGTTTGCCTCTCTCTTTCAGCATCTGGGCTGATGGACCGCGTGATGCACTGTGAGCCCTCCCCAGGAAGCCAAGAAGGAGGGCAGACCCAGCTGCAGATGAGTGAGCAGTTCCTTTCCAAGGAAGAAGCCCAAGAGCTGAGACAGGTGACGTCCATTCACGGTGCCATGCCAGTGCTGATGTGGCTTTTCTGTCCTCCCCTTGCAGCAACTCCTTTCTGTCTCCTGCTTGAAAACAAACCCTCCATTTATTTAGGTTTGCCTCTCACCTCACCCTGGCTGCTAGAATGCCTGCTAGGAGTGCTGTGTTCCCTATAGCTGGAAAAAGGAGAGAACAGGCAGTGTGACCCATACTGAGTGTGCGAGCTGCAGAGCGAACCTGGATGCTGTGTCTGTGCACACGGAGCACACCAGTAGGCGGGCCACCTCCACCCTTTCCACACGCATGTTCAAGTCCTTAGTACAGGGTTCCTACAGACGCTTAGCACTTTTTGCTTAGAAAATGAACATGTGAACGCTATTTTTACGTATATCCTTCTAACCTGTTTCCTATTTTGTTGCTGTACAGTCCAATGGCTTTTTTCTTTTTTTTCCCTTCAAAAATATATTTTTTGAAGCTAATAGCTAGGTGTCATATAATTTTATTTGTAAATATTTTATTATGTATCTCTAAAAGATAATTGTTAACAATGGAACACAGCAATAGCCAAAAAAACATATTCCAAAAAAACCACCATTCTACTTTTGCCTTTAAAAAACCAAACATACAAGTAATACCTTGATATCATCACATATTAAATGAATATTCCGATTTCTCCAGTCACATTCCTCCCTCTCTCTCACCGCCCCAATCCTGGGGTCTAATAATGTTGCTATACTACTGTTGGTTAAAATATCTTTTAATCTACAGATCCATCACTAAGTCCTTTTCTTTTTCCCCCCTTGCAATGGATGTGTTGAAAAATATAAAGTGTCTTCTGTTGGCATTCTCAGTGCGAGCCTCCCTGCCTCTGTGCTCATGGCACAGCCAAAGTGTGCTCTCCTCTGTTCCCTGTTCAAGGGACGTGTCTGTCGGGACACTCGGCAGGACTCAGGCTCCTATGTGGAGAGAATGCCTTCAGAGGTGGTTCTGCATCTTTCATCACATGGAATGCAAAGACTGTATACCTTTTAAACCTGTTTTTAAAAAATGATTCTTATTACATGTGTCTGTATAAGCAAACATTCCTTTGAGCTCAAGCCTTTCTTTTTTTGGGGGGAAAAATAGTTGTAATTTTGTGTTAAGATATTTTAAATATGCATTATTTGTCACTTCCCCTCCCCACCACCACCCCTGGCCTTGTTTAGTCACTTTTAGTCATGACAGAAAAAAAAAACCCAACCTAGAAGTTGCAACTAGTTAATCCTGTAGGTTACTAAGCACTTCTTTTTTATATGCTCATTGACTCCAAAATATGTGGTGCAGCTCTTGTTGACATTGGCATTTTTGAGGAATCCCTGGACAGTACAAACAGTAATGTACTCAGCTGCTAACAGAATGGTTGATAGTTCAAGTCTACCCAAAAGTGCTTCAGGATAAAGTCCTGGCAGTTTGCTTCCAAAAAACCAGCCATTGAAAACCCTGTGGAAGATAGAAACAATAGTAGACCTCAATGGATGATTGACCCAGGAAGGGGAGGGGGAAGGAGCAGAGGTGAACTAATGGATGGATAGGTTGAAGGGAAAGGGTGAGCATACTAATGTTCCATAAGACGAGGTAAATAATGGCATGGCACAATTGGATTGACTCATTATAAGGCAAAGTTTATATAAGTGACTGAAAACCAATTAAAAAAAATAAGCCCTGTGGAGCATAGTTCTGCTCTGGTACACACAGTGCTCTGTACACCTGTAAGAACTCTTAGAGGCCCGTAGCGTTAACTGCTGGGATCTGAGAACCTTCTACTCCTATCCTCATATGAAAATATTTTTCAATTCAGTATCCTACAGAGTTACCTTTAGGTTGAAATAAGAACAAAACTTTTTTCATAGAAAGTTAAGCATTTCTTTTTTTCCCTGTTTATAAGAGCACCCATTTCTAATCTCACATCATAACTTATATAGATCAGAAGTTGTAGTAGGCTCAGCTGGGCTCTTACCAGATTGAAATCAAGCTGTCACCTAAGGTGCGTTCCTGTCTAAAGGATTTGGGGAAGAATCCACGTCTATATCCATTCAGAGTTTTATCAGAATAAGTTTTGTTGGAATGTAGCACTGACTTTCTTATTGAAGTTGTCAAGAGAGGGAGGGGAGACTCCCTCTCAGCTCCTGAAGACTGCTGTTAGGACCTTTACAAGTAGTCCCTGGAATCCTCAAAAACAGCAGCAGCTTAGTGAGTCCTCACATTTAAAAAAAAAATTATGTGTGTTTTAGGTTCAAGTCTACACAGCAAATTGGGCTCTCACTTAATTTTTATGTAGATTGTGCTGTGATATTAGGTGCATTTTTCATAATGTGTGGGCATTTTAATTTTCATTCTGTTTGTTGTGTTTCTGTTGATCTAGCTTCCCTGCTTCTCCTTACCTTCTCATCTTTGTTTTTGGATAAATGTTGACTCATTTTATTTACCTGTTAATTTTGGTTGAGGCCCTATAGATTAAGTGAGGCTTTCAATTTCCATACATCCATTCTCCATAACTGTGTATAAGGTGTCCTCCGTCTCCTAAAAGGCATTAAGGAGGAAATAGTGAAATGTTAGGATGAATATACAAATAACTGTGAGTAAAACTAGACTCCTCAATGACTCTCGACTGCTATCTTCCCCTGTGAGAGCATGATACCTGCTGTCATTGACAAGTATACTGTGAGTCCTCTGGTATTTGATGCTGAGACTAAGACCACCATGAGAGTGAGACAGGGATTGCATCCTCCCTAGGAAGTAATATTAATAATTGATCTCTGAATAGTAGATCTGAGAAGAGATCTGAGGAGAAGGGGGACTAATGGAGGGGTAATTCAGGGCATTATTAGTCATCTGTTTTATCTTTCTTCCTTGTAGGAAGAACTTAGTTTCATAAAAGGTTGTCTTTTTGAGGTAAAAACACACGTTTTCATAATTAGAGATGAGTTCTTAGTGGACACTTGAAACTCAGGCATAGATAGGAATGAGTTAAATTTCTGAGGAAAACAAAAATGCAAGAGAATCCTCCTCCATTCTGCTGTGGTTTTTGTGGCAAATGCTATTAAAGTCATTACGTTGAAACGAGATGTCTCCACAACTTTAAATTGAACTGGGAGTGTTAAGTGAGAAGATTTGCCATGATTTCACCAGGGACACCCATGTTTAGTGTAGTGTGCTGTGGTCTTCTGGGCTGAGCCTTAGGACTGGGCTTTGGGTACACAGAATGCAGGCGGAACTCCTGTGGGCTGCGGTCGGGCCATGTCTGCTGCAGTGCTGTGCTGTATGCTGTCACTGGATGTGGGGAAGGAGGCTGGGAGAGGAATCAGATTCGCTGGAATGGGTTTGGCAGAGTCCCTTGAATCATGTCTATGTCTGATGTGTTAAACTCTTCCTGCCTTAGAATTGTTGCCTTTTCTTTTCTGAGTCTTGTAGATAACCACATATTCGATGCAGAGCTGGAAAAGAGAAAAGTGGCGTTTGGCCTTTCCCTAAGGGAGTTTCCATTTTTTGAAAAGCGTCTGCAGAACTTTCTTACTTCCATTTCTCTGCCTTGTCCTGCATATGGTGTTTCCTCATCCAGCCTCCTCCTTTAACTGAAAGGGCACTTGGGTGGGAAAATGGTTTGGCCTATTCTAGTGGTTTATCAGACGTGGACGGAAGGACTAAGAAAGCTTCCAGAACCACATAGCACAGTCTTTGACGTCAGTTGTAAAAAAACTCTGTAAGAATCTAGCAACAATCTAGAAGCCATGAAAATCTACCTTATTCCATTATTTTGTGACATAAAAGCACATAGTGGTTTGTGCATTAAGTGTGTATGAGCTCATAGGGAATTTTTAGGTCATATGCATAGTTCTTTTTTACCTTTTTATTTGATTACCCCAGGGCACTTCATTTGGCTACTGTATGCTCTATAAACAAGAAATACAAACATTTTTTTAAATGGAAATTATTTGTTTAGTTCAATCAAAGTTAGTTTGCTGGAAAAATCAGGAAGTTAGTTGATATATATTGTGGTTGTGGTTGTTGCTATTGTGCTGTTAAGTCTCCTGCAACTCATAATGACCCTAGGTACAGCAGCTCTGAAGCCTGCCCTGTCCTGAGCCAGTCTCACTGACTTCAACACACCTACCCCTATTCCCCGTTACTGTATCAGTTCATATCATCTGGAGTCTTCCTCTCCTGAGCTGTCCCTCCACTCTTTTAAGCATGGTGTCCTTCTCCAAGGACTGGTCCCTCCTGGCCATGTACCCAAAGAATGTGAGATGGAGCTGCAAAATCATAGCCTCCAAGGAGAATCTTGGTTTCACCCTCTCCAAGACAGACCTGTTTGTTTTCTTGGTGGTCTATGGTATGTTCAAGACTCTTCTCTAGAACCATAGCTCAAAGGCATCCATTCTCCTTCTGTCATCCTTAGACATTGTCCAGCTCTCAGATGTGTAATAAATAATGCCTGACTAAAGTGTACTCTAGTCTCTAGACTGACATCACTGCTTCTCAGTACTCCAGAGAGGTCCCTGAGAACAGATTTTCCCAGTGCATTTTGGCTTTTGATTTCCTGACTGCTGGTGCCAAGACTGTTGATTATGGAGCTGAACAAGCTATAATTGTTAACTATCTCGATCTCTTCTCTGTCCATCATGGTGCTGCCAGTTGACCCAGTGGTGAGAATCTTTGTTTCTTGATGTTGAGCTTCAGTCCATATTGAAGACTACAGCCTTTGACCTTCTGCAGCAAGGAGAAAAAAATGAATTGGAAAGGCTGTCCTCCACAGACCTCATGTTGGAGAGGAGGGGTACTTGTCTTCAGTCACCAGGTAGAGTTAGGGACCAGAGAGTTTCTGAAACCTATGGAGTACTCAAGTTTGTCTTTTGGGCTTTGGGATGGTGTTTTGTGATTGTTCGGGGTTTTTTTTGTCTTTTTATTTAAATCCTATCTCCTTTCCTAGCAGAGCCAAGTTCCACATGTGCCTGTCCTGGCAGCTAAA